GGGGGCCCTATCCTATGGAATCTTCTCTTGGATCCACTCCTGAAGAGTCTGGAGCTCAGGGGAGAGTACTGCCACGCCTTCGCTGACGATATTGTGCTCGTCTTCCACGGGGAAACCGCGGAGGAAATACAAAGACGCGCCAATGCCGCCCTCGAACATGTTCGGGAGTGGGGAGTCATCAACAAGTTGACTTTCGCGCCCCACAAGACCATGGCGATGACCGTTACAAATAAATTAAAATATGACACCCCGCGACTGAGCATGGGCGGGGTCGACATTGGCTCGACAAATGAACTAAAATTACTGGGGGTCACAATAGACGCAAAACTCACATTCAACAGCCACGTTGCAAATGTCTGTAAAAAGGCGATAGGTGTTTACAAACAACTGACCAGAGCAGCTAAAGCTAGTTGGGGACTACATCCAGAAGTCACACGAATAATATATGTGGCAACCATGGAGCCAATCATCCTGTATGGGGCCAGCGCCTGGTCATTGGCTGTAAATAAGACAGGGGTCAAAAAACAGCTGAACGCCTTGCAGCGTGGAGTGGCCCAAAAAATATGCCGAGCCTATCGTACGGTCTCATTAAACTCGGCATTAGTACTGGCGGGAATCCTCCCCCTCGACCTCCGAATCCGTGAGGTCACTCTACTATACGAGACCAAGAGGGGTACCCCCTGGGAAGTACTGAGAGACCGTGAGGTGGAGCGTATGGCTAGGACCGTAGACGCTCCTCACCCTGCTGAGCACATGATGTTAGACATCAAACTAATCGACAACCAAGAGCAGTATCTGCAAAGCGGAAATGGTGCAATAAAAATTTTCACTGACGGCAGTAAGATAGCGGGAAAAGTTGGAGCCGCCCTAACCATCTGGGCTGAGGACACAGAGATCGGCACAATTAAACTGGCTTTGTCGGCTTACTGCACTGTTTACCAGGCCGAACTCCTGGCACTTTGTAGGGCGACGAAGGAGGTCACCGTGCGTGGCGGAACTGCGTTTGGAGTCTTCAGCGACTCCATGGCTGCTCTCCAAACCCTGCAGAATCCTCGCTCCCTCCACCCACTAGCGGTGGCGGCAAGAGATCACTTAAAAACAGCATCTCTCCAGGGCAAAGCTGTGTCTCTGCACTGGATCAAAGCTCATGTAGGATTGGAGGGAAATGAGAGAGCTGATGAGCTGGCCAAGGCGGCGGCTGGGGGCTCCAAGCGCAGGCCCGACTATGACCTGTGCCCGGTTTCATTCGTCAAGAGTAGCATTCGCAGTGCGACCCTTGACGAATGGAACAAAAGGTACATGGACGGAACGACAGCATCGGTAACGAAAATATTTTTACCCGATATGAAGACGGCATATAGAGTCGTCCGAAACTTCGAGGCCACGAGTGTCAGGACTCAAGTTATGACGGGGCACGGGGGTTCTCTGAGTACCTGAACCGCTTCCGGTGCAAGGAGAGCCCGGCGTGCGTGTGACCCGGCAGTCAACGAGTCGGTGCAACACGTCCTCTTTGAGTGCCCAGTGCACCTAAGAGAGCGTTATGAGATCGAGCACGCACTCGATGTAAAAATAGAGGCTCAAAACATTGCAGCAATTATGTTGGGGAAAGACAGGAATAGGTTGCTTGATTATTGCGAAAAAATTGCTAAGTCTGTAATAAAAAGAAATAGTAGTAAGTGATAGTAAATTATGCTGTCATAATATCTTGTGGCATATTATTGTACAGCATAAAGGAATAAAATGTTTAGAAGAAGTATACAAATTAAATGTAACCAGTAATTTAAGGCAAACTAACTGTATGTCAACTAAAATTAAGTAGAAATAAATAAAAATTGTTTAGAATAACAATAGAAATAAGGCCTAATGTAAGCATATAAAGCTGTAATTGTTTATAATTAGTAATATTAAACAAAGTGTCGATACAGTTATTGAACTATACCCGATAGATTTAAGGAAATAGTAGTATAGAGAGTTTAGAATAGTAGGCATAGATGGGAATCCCACCCAAACAAGTCATGAATGAGGAAAGAATGCAAGAAAGAACCGGTATGCGGCATGATAGTGCGAGAGGAATAATTGATAGAACTGGAATGAAAATGTTAACGAGAAAAGAACAGGCTCCAGTTACGTTGGATCTAGGTTAAAAAAAAAAAAAAAAAAAACACCTAACCTAACCTAACCTAAATGTCACTTCGATGCGCGAAATTCAAATTAATGAAATGTCATTCATTTCATTACATATATACAGCTACCGTTGAACCTGTAATCACCTACGCGGCGAGCGTGTGGGCATCTGCAGCTCAAAAGGTAGGAGTGCAAGAAGCACTGATCGCGGTACAGCGAGGCTTTGCTCAAAAGCTATGCGGATCCTACCGCACAGCATCTCTTAACTCTGCGCTAGTACTGGCCGGGATACTGAATCTCGACCTCAGAATACAGGAAGAAGCCGCACTGTATGAAGCTCGGAGAGGGTCGTCCCGCCTAGTGCTGGGAGACAGGGAAGTAGAGCGCGTAGCAGAGTTTGCGCAGGCTCCTCACCCGGCGACACATATGGCACTGAGTTTCGTAAGCTTGATGACTCAAGCTAACGTTGAGGAGCACAACGTGCAGGCGGTGCGAATCTACACCGACGGCAGCTCGAGTGAGGTGCTGAAGCGTAACGATCGTACGTACGGAATTTACAGTGAGTCTATGTCTGCACTGGAGTCTGTCGTGAACTGTGAGACACTGCACCCGTTCGCACTAAAAGCACGCTACAATATATATTCTGCTTTAAAGGAAAATAAACATATAGCCTTATTCCACATTAAAGCACATGCAGGACTTGCAGGCAATGAACGCGCGGACTCTTTAGCTATGGAGGCAGCACTTTCGAGCCGTAGGAGGCCTGATTATGATCGATGCCCGATCGCATTCGTCAAAAGGTCTCTCCGTGAAGATACCCTGGACGAATGGAACAAGGTTCCAGTCAGGCGCCTCCGTCACGAAAGTGTTTCCTCCCGATGCAGTAGACGCCAAATGCATGCGTACTTAATTTAGTATTAGGAAGTAGTTGGTACTTATAACTAAGCAGTGAGTCTTTTATATGTATTTATATATTTTATTTTATTTATTATATATATATGTATATATATATATATTAGGTAATTATATTACCGTCTGTATCTACTCTTATTACAGGCGTAGAAGCTGGCAATGAATGCCGCATCGTCGACCCTTTAGTACACCCTAAAGACCGACATTGTCCTAAAAAACTTGGAACCTAATGTTTTAATCAATTATAATGGAACACATGTTTTAAGTACATAAGAATAGAATCAAATTATATAAGGGACCATAGTTTAAGTTGGGTATAAAAAAAATGTAATGTTTTTTAAAATAAAATAGTGGTGTAGTGTTTAGTACTTTTATAATATTTACATCAGCGAATCGTTACAGCGCGTCTGGCATGTTTGCCGAGGCGCGGATAAATGACTTTTATGCAATCATGCGCAAAAAAAGTAGCCTCGCTTATGAATAGAGTGTGCGGCAGTTGCAACAGTATCCTGAGGGCGGTTGGTGGAAGATACGAGTGTCCTATCAGCCACCATTGGACGACTGTGCTGGTTGGGTTAGGTTAGGTAATTTAATTTATGACATCAAATTTTGACTATTTAATTAACTATTTTATGATTGTTCACTTGATTTTGTGACATGACCTAATTTTAATTTTAATCTTAATCAATGAAGTAATGTAATAATCTTTTCAAATATTAATTCATTTTATTTATTTATTTATTTTTAAGTAAATTGTGATTTATGATATGATGTAATGAATTATTGTTTTTGTATATGGAACAAGATTTCTGAAAAAAATTATATTATTATTATTATTATTTAAAAAAAAAGCTAAGTTACTCCTTATATAGACAGCTACCTGCTAGTAAAATATTATCAAAATCGGCCAAGCCGTTTCGAAGATTAACCGAACCAACAGATAGACAGACAGACAAAAAATGTTTAAACTGGTTTTATAGTACAGGTATCGCATAAATAACCGTGTGAGCAAACCTATTATTTCGATATTACAAACAGACACTTCAGTTTTATTTATTTGTATAGACTATATATAATATATCTAATTTCTTCTGAATGAATCTTTCGAGAGTTGTAAAAAAGTGAGTTTTAAGAAAAAGAAAACTTAGCTTGTGCAACCCTTATAATTTTAAGCACTGTTCCTCTCACACTACAGAACTCTCGTTTCAGAGACATATACCATGTTGCCACAGACTCCTTTTCTATTAACTGGTTCTATTGAGACAGCTGGCTCTAAAATTCGCATAGGTTCGGCTGGAGTTTCCAGCCACTATGTTGTTTGATATTAGTGCTCAGTTGGTATGTTCGTGTTTGAATGCAATTTAAAGTGCAGTGTTACTGGATGTAGAGGTCTTGAAGAGATGTGATGAGATGATCAGAAAAGAAAAAAATGGTAATAAAATTATAGCGTCTTTACTTGTCTTGACTTTACATGAAACACTACAAGACCAAGAGCACGTAAACACACAGATCACAAACACTTTGTCTTCCTTTACAGTTGGACAAATTGTGCGCAACAAACAACTTGTGTAAAGTTGTGTAGGAACGGTCGGCGAGCATAAAACTTTCGATCACCCACCGCGATCCACATGTTTAGCCTTTCAGCCAGCTTTGCCGGTTAATAATTGACAAGGGTACACCTCCTTTGGTCTACGTTTAAACCATAATGTTTACTTCAATAAAAAAATTATGAAGCATAAAAAGTTTTTTAATTGATTGATATACTTATTATCTATGGTATTCTGATCTATCATACTGATAGGTAGGTACGTATTGACAGCTTATATGAAAAAATATGTCAAAAATAATGTACTTCTTTCTATATAACTAGGTGGTAATGTTCAAAAATACTTAAGTCGTTAAATAAATTTGAAGCAATAACTTTTTAATAAATGAAAATCTTAAGCGACGCTAAATGTGAATGAATGTCGATTGGGGCGGGTGGAGTGCTCAATAGAGGCGTTGGGAGTGGCACACGCGTGCTCTGTAAGTCCGTGGGACAGCGAAGGGTGTCTGCGCTGCCAATGGGCATATCTTCTTCAGTAAGTCATTAACGTTTGGCTCGTACCTGCTGTCCGTCACAAACTTATGTTTTCGACCCTCAAATATCTGCTCCTATCATGGTGAACGTATATACCACGCGGTTAGAGACACTTGTTTGTAGCTTCATGCAAGTTTTACCGAGATCGTCAGGGCAGTTTCTGTATTGAAAAATTAACAAGATCAGTAACCATAATATACCGATCACCTTACATAAATAAAAAAGGTACATATATGACAATCTTTATATGTTTGTTCCTCCTTTCTAAGGAGAGGCATATGTCCAGCAGTGGACTGTTATAGGCTGTTGATAGATATGTTTGTATGATTGATAATTTTGTCATCACCATGCAAATTCTCACAGTAAAATCTTAGATGAAACTTAAGAAAAATCAGCTTTTTAAAAAACTCATAAATTAATCAGTATCACAAAAATTTCTTAAGAACTCGCAGTTTGTAGACACAGCTGTTAAGGGTCAATGACCCGCCTCTTTCGTCGTATTTATTTGAGATATAAACGTTTATTTACAGACGAATTAATAACCTCCTCTTTAGTGTTTTTGAAGTCGGTTAATTAAGGAAAAGTAGTATACTTATTGGATATTATTATATGTAGATGTACATAAGTATGAGATGATTATTTAATGCATCAGACACATTAAAAGTAACATAAAAATATAATAACCACTTACCAACGCCTAATGCCGCCCTAATATGAGGCCGCGGGTGGACGGGACGGGGTTTTTTCCACCCGCCATAACGGCCAGCCGCGAGGAGGCGACGTCCAGCCCACGCGGACGTATATGAGAATGTATGATGTATGATACATGGAGAATGTACCCGGGGATGGAGCCCGCGGTGAGTACGGTGGTTGACGGAGAGCTTTCAGGCTGTAACTCTTTGCGATGGTCGGTCGTGAAGTGTGAGTTTGCACGTTGTCCTTAAGAAGCAGTGGGGAAGAGCGATCGACCAGTCGAGGTTATTAATTTGCGAGCTTCTCCATTATTGCTTGCAATTCTTAGCAATAAACATCTGCCGTCATTGTTGTGCCATTCAGTGAGAAGCTGTGATAGACAAATCTGGCACTGGTCTACGAGACAGTCACAAACATCTTCCTATGTAGTCTTTTTTTGATGATGTACAATAATAATAATAATAATAAGCCTCCTATCCTGAACTGCTTTCTTCTTTCTTTGTATTGTGGTTGTCTCTTTCGTTATAAAATATCTCGGAGTTCAGTGTGCCTCTTGGCAAAGGCCTCCTCTAACAATTTCCATTGTACTCTGTCTCTAGCAACCCTTCTCCATTTTGGGCCTGCCGTCAGTTTTAGTTCATCTTCCCATCTCTTGCTTTGTCCTCCTCTGTTCCTCCTCCCATCTCTAGGGTACCAGTCTGTTATGATGTTGCTCCACTTCTCTTGTGTACCGCGCAGCATGTGCCCAGTCCATCTCCACTTCAAACTATCTATTCTAGTAAGTACGTCTGTGACTTTTGTCTTACTTCTTATGACGGTGTTTCGTATCTTATTTTGTTTCTTAATACCTATCATACTTCGTTCCATAGCTCTTTGGCAGTGTTCCAGCATGTTTCTGTGATGTTTCGTAAGAGCCCAGGTTTCACACCCATATGTAATACATGGGAGAACGCAGGTATTGAAGACCTTCCTTTTGATACCTATACTGAGATCTGTGGATTTCATGATCTCTTTCAGTGACCAGTATCTTTTCCATTTGATGATGTAGTCTTTACTGATAAGGTACTGTACCCGGGTCCACCTACTGGACAAACGCTTACGGTTGTCGTACAGGATCCACTTTACATCACAGGTAACAATTCGAGGCTTAGTTCTTGTGGCTCCCACTTATCTAGCTTTTTTATAATTCCTATTTGACGCAGGTGCTTCAATATTGTTTTGACGCTAACTACAAAGCTCGTAGCAAGCTCAGCCGTAAATTCGTCGTTGTCAATTATAGTTACCGGCCGACCGCGAGGCTCTCTCTTCAACTCAAAATTGCCAGATCTAAAATGATTGAACTTAATAATGGACCGTGTTTATCCAAGCAGTGTTAGGCCCGTATACGTCGTTAATGTTTCGTGTTGATTTTGCATCGGTATTTCGACGTAGGAACTCATATTCGAATAATCTGTGAATTTTCAGTTCAGTCCATGGTGCCAAAAACTAACACAATTTCAGAAAAACTGAACACTATCTAAAACAAGTATCTGATTTTTTTTCTCAGACCTCAAGCATCTAGAATCACTCACTTCACTGCAGCCAAGTTTTTTATTGTACTTGCTTGCTTCGCTGTCTCGCTTGCGCTGCCCTTCGACTTTCACTTACTCGTACTCGATGTATTTTCAGAGTCAAAGCAGTGCGCATGTATCGGATTCTAGCCACCTTCGGGATCTCGAGAAACGCACTGCACAAATTCAAAAGAACTTTAATGAGCAATTCCAGGCTATCACCAACTCCAAGAACGTTGACGATGTAAACAAGGCAATTAAGGACAGCTCCGATGTAGTTTTGAATCAGCTATCAACGCTATCCTCTAGCCTCCAAAATGCGGTTAGTTTCCACATAAGTTTTATTTATTTATATTTATCTACCGGTTTACCATGCGTTATTTTGCGGGCGACTACTACTAAACGTATGCTTCCCTAACTGACTTAAATAATCACTTGTAAGCGGCCTGTATCCTAGTTTGTACCCCTATATCCTGTTCCATGTCTCTAAATGTATGTGCAGTGTTTTCTGCCAACTGCAACTTTAACAGTTAGGCTATGTTGGTACTCGTTTTAAGTATTCAATCAAGGGAAAGGGATTATTGAGTGAGTGAGACCACAAAAAAACAAAAAATATCTATTTAAAAATTATTTGGAACTCGACCTGTTTCCCAGATAGATACGAGTATATTAGAAGACATGTATTCACCAAATAACGTAACGTATCGTAGCAGGTTGCAGAGAATTGGCTCACTTGATAATTTATCTGTTGATGGTAACGATAATGAATCCGAATTATTTACACGACGAGGTTGAGTATACCAAATGAGACCTTACATGATCATAATAACGAAATTCAATCGCTTACCAATGAACTTGTGAGTGCACATCACGAAATAGAGAATTTAAACATTGAAAACCTCCGCCTGAAAAAAGACTTGCAAAATGCCTTACACTTGATTGAGACCTATAAGAAAATTTGTATGACGCCAAAACGAAATAGTAGAACTCCCAAATCCTTACGTAAGAATAAGCTGTGTAATTCAAAAAGTGCGGTCTTTAACCAAACTATGACACAGAAACAAAATATAACGAATTCTTCAGAATTACAAGTGGTGAAAGAGATTAGCGTTGAAGATACTCATAGCAAAGCACTTAAAACGTCTACGTCTTTTTATAACCGTGACCCAGTAACAATTTTACCCATAAAGAGTGAAGCTTTACCAAAAGTCAGAAAGGTCATAGTATTGGCTGACCAATAAGGTCGAGGTATACGTCGCACCCTTCAAAAGCTAGTTGGCGAAAAATATGAAGTGAAATGCTATTGGAAAGCTGGTGCGAAATTACAAGAAGTTTTAGCTACAATTAATAAGAGTGAGATAAAAATACTAGACAAAAATGACTTTATTATCATACTAGGTGGTATAAATGACAAAGTACCTAACAGCTTATTATTTTCTTTCCAACATTTTTTGAATAACACTTGTAATACTAATGTCATAATTACCGATATACCATACAATAAGCTTTTAAACGAGCGTAAGTTAAATTACGAACTTAGATTTGTATGTTCTAACTACACTAATTACTGTACATATATTGACATGAATTACATAAGTGTTTTATTAAGAAATGCTTCATATTGACTATAAATTGCAATACGAATTGTATACCCAAACCCATCATGATAGTGCAGAGCATTGCTTGCTCTTGTTGAGGGACAAATGTACTCAAACTGATGCATCGTTGGAATATGTAAGAGAAGCTTCTACACCACAGAAATCAAAAGATTTTTTTTTGTGAATAATTATTTAAGTGTTCTACATCAAAATATAAATGGTTTGATATCTAAATCGGATCTTTTAGCGGTATTTCTTGTTGATCTTGAAAATAAAGTTGACGTATTGTGTATAACTGAACACAACATGGTCGCCTCTGACAAAGACTCGTTAAATATTAGTGATTATAAACTTGTTTCATTGTACTGTAGGAAAGGTCGGCGTGGAGGATCTTGCATTCTCGTAAAAAATAAGCATCAATGTGCCCAGATAGATAAAATTAATCAGTACTCCTTAGAGAACATTATAGAATTCTCAGGGATCGAATTGGTGCAACATAAAATATATATATTATGCATATATAGACCGCCAAAGTCAAATGCAGAGGACATTCACACATTTTTTCAAACATTTAATACACTTTTGAAACGCTTTTGTTCTGTAAAAAGAAAGTTATAATTTGTGGTGATTTTAACATAAATCTATTGAAAGATTGTTATGATGCAAAAAAAATTAGACACACTCAAAGTTTCAATCTGAGGTTAAGTATAGACGAACCAACACGATTATTGAGTGGAACTTGCATTGACAACATAATTTTTAATATACGCGGTAGCAAAGGAAAAGTTCTAGAACTTTTGTCAGACCATGCAGCACAATTGCTTACATGTCCCGTGAAATCCAGTTTTCCCCTGAAATCATGGACAGTTGAAATACGCGACTATAGCAAGGAAAATTTGAGAAAATTTAAAGAGTGTTTTGATAGCCTTAGTTTCAGTGATGTCTTTGCTAGTGAAAACCCAAACATTGCTTTTGATAACTTTCACGACCTCTTTCATCTTTTCTATAATTTATGTTTTCCAATAAAACTAGTGAAAAATCTTCAACTGCTCGTCCAAAATGGATCACTAAAGGTATCCGATTGTGTTGTAAGAGAAAAAGACAGTTATACATACATACATATATACATATGTCAGTAGTAAAACCCGCTTCCTAGCTTTATCATCACGTCTTAATAGGTTAATAAAACTAACGCAAAAGTGTTTAAATGATAATTACATAAAAAATGCATGTAATAAATCGAAAGCTACTTGGGCGATAATCAATGAAAAAAAATGGAATGTGCCAAAATATGAAATTAAATATATTAAAACCGCTGATAAAATTATTGACGAGCCTGCAGCGATAGCAAACCATTTTAATATATTTTTACTGACCAAAATAATGACATACTAATGAGCAATACAAGAACCAATATTCCTTTCGAACTTAAACCTATATTTTTAAAACCGTGTATCCCACAAGATATTTTTAAAATTATTCAAAATCTAAAGAACACTAACAGTGCAGGTTATGATTGTATAGTGTGTCTCAAACTAAATACATATTCATATGCACTTTATAGATTAAAGAAAACAGCAAGTATCACAGCTGTTTTGGCGGTGTATCATGGGTGCATTTCCTCTCTTCTGAGGTTCTGGGGAAATTATACAGATAGGGAAACTGTATTTAAGGCGCAAAAGAAATGCATGCGGGCCATATTCAGTATTAAAACTACAGCAAATTCTAACGCTACCATGCATTTACATATTAGAAACTGTCGTGTTTGTGCGCAAAAATGCTTATGTATTTAAAAATCTTAATAGTAAGAGGCGTGATATGGAAATACGCATGCCCAGAAATAAAACAGCCCTGTTAAATAGGAGCGCACTTTGTATGGCTGTTCGATTATACATTCGTTAACCAAAATCTGCACTCAGAATCACAGATAGTGTATTTATAAAATAAAGTCAAAGAAATATTAGTTGAAAAAGGATATTATTCTGTGAACGATTATTTAATTGATAGTGAATTGGTGTTAATGAACAATGTTTAATTTATATAACAGTTATAACTATGTAAACGTAATTTATTAGTGACTTTCTTCAATTCCAATCTTTATATTAATTTAATGGTTATTGTATACTTTTTGCATGCTGCTGTGACAGCAGAATATAATGAAACTGATACTATTGTAAGAACTTTTATACCTACTCATGTTAATTATTTGTTTATTTATTTTCTTTAAAAACAACTATTATAACAGGTTTAGCCCAATGCAATAGTGTTATACCATCTACTTATTTATTATAAGAAATAATTCTTAATGCTGTTATTGTGAATTCACTCAGTGAGCAATAAAATAAATCTACTTCATCCGCAATTATATTCAGAGTACGTAGTGCGCGCGTCAGCGGTGCTTCTCTCTGCAGGTTGGTGCGCCCGCACGGGACAGCCAGCAGCGGCGGCCGGCGGCGCCGCCACACGTATCTGTCCGGAACACATATGCTGACTCGTCCTAACACGTCTTCATTATGTATCCCACCCCTAAGTACCCTAAACAGGTACGAGACGAGTGTGTGTATATATGTTCTGCAAAATAAATAAATAAATAGATAAAGCTTCGCTTTTCATTCTCTATCGTATTTATCATAGAGAGTGTTCCGATTAATTGTTCGGACTAATGCCGGCTGCTACTTTCATTATCGTTCAACACGGCAAAATTTTCATCCCCATCACTTGGATCACTCCACCAAAGTGTGTTTTTTAAGTAACTTTTTGCCTCGCAGTACCAACCTGTGGAACAACATCGTCTGCAGTATTTCCGGACCGATGCGACCTTCAAGAAAAGAGCGTCCTCCTTCCTCAAAGGCGGGTAACGCGTAGATAGTCGCTTTCCATCAGGTGACCCGTCTGCTCGTTTGTCCGATCTCCCATATACAAAAAAAAACGCTCGTAAATGATTTAAGCATCCGGATCATCCATCCTATACATCATATTACCAAAATAGCAAAACCAAGGCTCAGAAGCAATATTATTTTACAATAATTGTCACTTCTCATATAAAACAGCAGCACCATGCTTCCACCTTCTCAAGAGCACCATGCTTCCACCTTCTGGCGTTATGCGTTCGAATTAGACCGAGGTAAAGACTGAACTTTTGAAGAAATGTAAAGCACCGGTGTTTAACCAGGCGCCAGAATATCTGCTATGGTTCCGTCGTGGCCCGACGCATTTTTCCTTAAGAGATGTTTCAGGGCCATTTGAATCTCATACAGACTGATGGGTACATAAGTTTTCAGAGTGAGCTTTCAGGTCATGCAAACACTCGCGGGGTTATTCATCCTCTCTGTTGCATCTTTAATGTGAGGAGTATGGTTGCGATGATAAAATGGGGCGTGTGATGCCATGTACTTAGTCTGGCCGTAAATATGATGATACATTAAAAAAATACATATTTTTACATTTCAAGTTGGAATATTTCTATTCTTATATGAATATTCATAGTGTTTTGTTTTTTATTTTCGCGTCAATCGGTGTTAAATATTTTTGTGGACGAAAGTTGCGTTTGGTTATAAAAAGAAATGAATTGCTGTGCAGGAATAGCAGTACACAAAATAGATGGAGCCAAATGCAATTTTTGAAACTCTTTATCTTCTTGGTCGACGTGGCGTTATGCCACGACGTGGCTATTGATAAGTGAAATGAAACCTGTTTATGACAGAAAAAGATTTGGCCGTCCACGGATTCGTACAAGAAAAGGCGATCTAAGCAGTGAAGAAAATAATTTGAAAAAACCTATCTGCAAGCAAACTATTGAGCAATATTTTAACAAGCAGAATAACCAAGTTTATGCTCAAAGCTCTATAGAAGTTTCCAAACTAGTCAGCAGATGTTAATGATGGTTTGGTAGGGCGGTAGCCATGAAGGAGTGACTAAGCATTATTTTTAAGAAAAAAGGTCAAAACATCGGCACAAGTTTATTAAGATATATTAAGCCTCATAACAACAACATGTTTTACAACCAAGAAGGGTTCTTTCAGTAAGAAACAGTACCGGGTCATAAAGTTCGATCCACCCAAACGGCTCATAACAGTATTAAATAAAGTAAACATCGTGCCTCGGATTTCCAAGTTAGTTCCTGTATGCAGCAATGGGTTGTAGGTAATTTGAAAGCTCTTGGGTACTTTTTGTACAGCGGCTCTTAAAGAACTGAGACTGTAATTCATTTTGCAAAAGAATATTTGCCGTTTTCGGAGCTAACATTAAACCCAAACGACTTTTAAATAATATGTCTAATATCCTTCTCGAGACACTGTGAATGGTGAGAATATTGTGTGGCTTTGAACGAGAAACTTGACACCTTTTAGAGCAGTTTGGTCGTCTTAATGGTAGTAGCGTAGGTTGCCGTACCTTACGATTACCGTGCTCTCTTTCTCTCTATGGAATTCAAGTAATTGCAAAATATCTCAAAGAAACTTATTAATTTGGACATACATGTATTTCAGCTCAACGTTTTTCTCATTGATTTTAAAAGTGTTTTCTATCTTTCACGTAACACATGTAACATCAGGGTAATTGTAGCAGGCAGGTTAAGCGGCCTGTAATAGAACGTCATAGTGTTACAGTTGAAAGACGCGAACGGCAAGGCTAAGGAGGCCCTGGAGAAGACGCGCCAGAACGTGGAAAAGACCGCGGAAGAGCTGCGGCGCTCGCACCCCGAGGTCGGGAAGCACGCCAATGAGTTGCGTGACAAGCTGCAGACGGCCGTGCAGTCCACCCTGGAGGTAAGCACCATCTGACATCACATACGCTGCTTCCTAATTTTATAGACTTTAATTATCTCTAACGGTTGAATAAAGTTATAAACACAAACATACGTAAGAGTTTGTATGCTTTGCTTTTCTTCGGTTGTTTTAAATTTCCTGCTCAGTGTAACTAAAGGTTTCTGTCGATTGAAGTTATGCCTGTTACTGACTAAACTTTTGTTACCCTTAGGAGACCCAGAGGCTCGCCCAGGAAGTCGCCTCCAACATGGAGCAAACCAATCAGAAACTGGCTCCTAAGGTGAAGGAGGCGGTCGACGAATTCGTGAAACAGGCCGAGGCCGTGCAGAAAAAGGTATACGAGGCCGCCACCAAAAAGTGAGCTCCACACATGCGACGCGACACAATAAAACTATTCCACTTAATTTTCGCCTTTCATTGCGAACACGTCCCTATCGCCACGCACACAATCCACCAAGTCTAGTTTATGTTAATTCCCATGATCTGCGAACTAAGCAAGCTTTTAAGCCTCGTTTTAGATTCAAAAACACGTCCTAGATCTCGGTTTATTATATATCCAACATTATGACTATAGTTCCATTTCTGTACGTTAAAACAGTTTGACCGGAGTTAAGAACGAACTAATTATTCGTAATGAATGCCAAGTAATGCAAACCACATGGTAACAATAAAACACGGCCAATAAGTAAAAATGCCGCTATTATTCCCCCGTAACGATTCTTCTAGAACCTTACGTGGACTCTAAAGATCTCGGAGAAAATATGAAATTTGAAATTTGAACAGAAACTAACAATTTAGCACTGTTTGCTAAACTTGTGAACATCAGATACGCAAAATTCTAATTCTGTAAAGTAGACAGAACAAAGTGTAAACGCACAACATATAAAGTGTAAGCTTAGCCAACACGGGGTGTACACCTTTAAATAAGAAACAAGTGAGTAAGGACGAAAAAAAAATTTTGATTAAACTCAGAGGGCAACTCATATTATTAAATGATAATTGTAGCATTGTAGCATTGACTGGCTTTGGCCAGTGTAGAGTATTGGTCAACAAGGGAGTACGAGATTTAATTATAAAATGCAATATTACAAGTAATGATTCAGACGCTAATATTATATTCTAGTCTCCAGTATAAGTCCCCATGAGCACAAATACTTATCTAGGCAGGTTGAAGGCGCCAGCCAAAGCGTTTTGTCTGTATTATATCACGTTTAAGTTTTGTCCTCACTACTCTTTACACTTTGGGTCACGTAGACAGTTAAACACCGATAGTTTAATTTAAAACTATGCTTCACTCTTATATATATTGTCAGTGTCGATATCTCTCAGACCTCATAAAATATCTATATATAAAATATATATATGCACGTTCATAAGTCCTCCACGTGAAAACACCAGGAGTCTGTTGAATAACAGACTCCAAATATTAAATTATATAGAAACTTAAGACTAAGCAATGAGCAACTTGCCCATTGCTTAGTCTTAAGTTTCTTTGCCATGCCATGCCATCCCCAAATGTTAATGGATTTTTGTAAGAATGATCTCCATAGTAAACAATCTTCTGGTGTTGTTCCCAAGTGCATGGGATGGTAAAAGGTGATGGGGCGCCAGTGTCCTTAGCCGTATCTCTGGCAATGGCAGTGTATGTAAAGGTAATGAAGAACGGCAGAGCAGCGCAAATGTATGTAGGTATGATACGAACAAGCAAACATTGATTTCTATTTATAAGTTACAAATATAAAATAAACTCATTTGTTTATTACGCGTTGTCAACAATAACTGTATTTCTTTAGTAGAGCTTAGGATGTTGGTGACAACGGTATCATAGACAACTATAGCTTACAACAGGTATTAGTGTCAAGTGACTTGGTGGAAAGACCTTCAGGGTGCATACGGACGAGCAATTGCCGCAACAAAGGCTATAAAATGATACAGTTTACATATCCTGTCAATGCATGGAGCTCGCTTTATAGAGGCCTTGTGTACCTTTTGTTATACTGCCAGGGCCGTAAGAGCCAGCCGCTAGTTGGCCTGCACTGGTTGCAACTTCTTACATAGACTCATGACTCTCTTGAGAGTTACCAACAATCTGTCAATAAGATTTATTCTTGAACCGTTCATGAGAATATTTCAGAGTTAAGTAACTAAACACGTGATTAGCCAAATTGGTATAACTATTATAAGAAGAACCACGCTCTGATTCGACGAGGCTGCTGCTTCAAACCCTGCAGAACTAAAAAACGTATGTTAAAATTGTTAACAATTGGAGAATTCTAGTATGCGCTTCATGTCGAGTATTATTTGTGTTGGGCTCTGGGACTTATTCCAAAATTACCTGTCAAATTTTTGAGATTTAAACCTTTTAATATTTTTTTATAAATTTTAATCCAAAGTATAACTGAAATATAATTGAAAAGCAAAGCATGCATAACTTAGTCTCTCGTGAAATAAGTCAGATATTCGATGGTGGACCTGCACGGTACGCCGGCGCGCAGTCGTTGGCGCAGCATGACGACGAGATGTTCTCGTGCTATGACTAGCCATGCTGCGCCAGCCGCTATGGAAGATTTCTTTACATGCTCTTGTATTCTCACAAAACACATTCTGTTTCAGATTTTATTCTGATCGCAAGCAAAGTGCGCGTTGAGGCATATATCTCATTTTAATACGATTCACGTAATGTTAGTGCCATACGTACTCGTAGTAGTACTGCTGTCTAAACAAGAGACGTTACTGGCTGTTGTAACCAGCAGGGAAATCGCTCCTGACAAGACTGCGATGCAATATTCTCAAGTACATTTATCTAAAACAAAGCCTGCAGAGCTCCGCGTTCTTTTACGTTTGGCAGTTTGTAGGATAGATTTGCAAGGTCTACCGGAGTATATTTTCCGAGTCTACGCGGTAGATGATAGTGACGTAACACTCTGTCTTATTTGGTTTAAGCCATACCACTTTTAGCCCCTGTGACGTTTACGACGTTTACATGTGACTCAAAAAGGGTTCAAGGGCCTTTGGAATTAATAGAACTATATTTAAAAGGTTGGTATTTAAGTAAAGGTTTAAATGCTGATCAGGATATTACAGCACTATGGTATCAAAACTAAAGCACTGGAACTTCTTACATCATATCTAACTAATAGGATTCAGAAAGTTGATATAAACGGTGAGCGATCTCCGGTTTCTGTGTGTTCTACTCTCGGCCCATTTTTGTTTTTAGTATGTATAAACGACACCTCACCTTGTCAAGGATAATCACGAGATTGTGTTGTATGCAGATGATACATCACTGTTATTTAGACTCAAACGCACACTTAGGAACATTTCGAAAGTGGTTCATTGGTTCGACGTTAACAATTTTGCTTTTGAATGAAAAAAAAAACCCACTGTGATGATTAAGGATGTCGAGCTAAACCTTGTAGATACAACGACATTTTTAGAAATAACATTAGATTCTAAGCTAGTGTTGCCCATATATAGATAAATCGAGTAGACTCAGCTCAGCAGCATACGCAGTTAGAAAAATTTGAGTTTTAACCGATATTGATACAGTACGACATTATGCTATAAAAATAACTGAAGTAAACAACTTCAGTTATTTTCATAGCATAATGTCGTACGGTATTCTATTGTGGGGGAATGCTGCCGACATTTGAGCAACTTATAATTTAGGTAATTGTTGTTCCTTGAGGCAAAAATTTAAAGAAATAAACATAATGACAGTGGCAAGTCAATACACTACTCTGTCAAGAAAGTACCGGGAAAAGACCAATAATACACAAAATGTTTGTTATTCATCCAAATTTATTTTATCACCTTCAAAGTATGCTCCTTCAGAAACGATACACTTACGCTAACGAATAATCCAATCATCGAAACATTTTTTAAACGCTGTTTCCGGAATCGATTGAAGTTCTCGCCGCAAATTCTCCTTTATGTCTTCTACCGATTGAAAACGGGTGCTAAGAAGTGGTAATTTGAGTTTAGGAAAAAGAAAGAAGTCGGCTGGAGCCATATCTAGTAAATATGGTGGTTGCTCGATGTTATTTGTTGAGTGTTTGGTCAAAAATTCGTTCACAATGATGGCCTTGTGCGAAGGCGCATTATCGTGGTGCAAATTCCAACAATTTTCTTTCCACAAATCTGGCCTTTTGAGTCGAATACCGAATTAAATACCGCATACGCTCAAATAATATTCTTTATTTACTGTTTGACCTTACGGCAAGAATTCCGAGTGCACAACACCGCGATAGTCAAAACAGTCAACATGACTTGGACTTTTGATCGACTTTGGCGTGGTTTTTTAGGTTTCGGTTCAGTTGGAAGGCGCCACTCTGAAGCTTGTTGACTAGTTTGCATGTCAAACACGTAAACCCGTCTCGTCACCAGTAACAATGCGTTTCATGAATGTTGGGTCGGTATTGACTCGTTCTAGCATGTTCTCAGCGACTCTCATGCGATTGAGTTTTTGGAGAGTTCAGGTCTTTAGGGACTAGCTGAGCTAGTCAGCTAAAATGGTACGGATCGACTCGTGAGACACAGAAAGTTCGGCGGCTATCTCTCTCACAGTTGAATGAGGATTTTCAGTCACTATTTCCTTCACTTTTGCGATGTTAACTTCAGTTGCAGAAGTTGATGGCCTACCAGAGCGAGGCACATCTTCCATCACATCTCGACCGCTTCTGAACGCTTTGTACCACTCATAAGCACGTCTTTTTGATTAAGTCGATTCAACGTAAGCCTTCTGTAACATTTTCAGAAATTCCGTTGGCGATGCAAAATTTAAGACAAACTCTTTGTTAGATGTTTTTGTCCATTATGAAATTCGCAATACACACTGGATATGATATAACTAAAAACAACACTGTATTTAATATAAATAATATACACTTAACATACTGTGCACGGTGGGTCTCTTTTCATATTTTATCTTCAATGCTTGAAAATATTTCAAATCTATACCTGTTTTATCAGGATGACACCTTCTTAGATGATCTTCGAGCGTAGAAGGTTTCATAGACTCATTGCTTAAAACTTTGTTGCATAAAAGGCATATGGGCTATCACTTGTCTGCCTTTGATGGAAGAAAACCAAATCTAAATATATATAAGAGATTTCCACGTATATAGTCACTCATCACGATATCTCTGGAACCATTAGAGCTAAAGACTTGAAATTTGGTAGGAATATTCTTTTCACCGAGTAGAGGTCAGCTAAGAACGGATTTCAAGAAATTAAAAAAATAATTAAATAATGTAAATAGCAAAACAACGTTTGCAGAGTCAGCTAGTTTTTAATAATCAACACTATACTGTCGACATTTCTTATTAGATTCAGCAATGTTTCGTATCAGTTACCTGTCAATATAAAATAATCATAAGGCGTTCTTACTCAACAAAATATAGGTATTTTAACAGAATAGGATTACTTACTTTTATTAATTAATTATTGCAATGGAATAAACAAAGGACCGAAGGCGAACTTGCCGACTTGTACTGAAAAATTGAACCTTTTTTTGATGTATGACGTATGAACAGAACACTGTTTAAAAGAAGAACCTCATGGGTATCATGTGAAATATATATATATATAAAAATGAATTGCTGTTCGTTAGTCTCGCTAAAACTCGAGAACGGCTGGACCGATTTGGCTAATTTTGGTCTTGAATTATTTGTGGAAGTCCAGAGAAGGTTTAAAAGGTGAATAAATATGAAAATGCTCGATTATTATTTTAATTCCGTGCATTTTTTAATTGTTTTCAAAATTGAAAAAGGATTCCTTTTGTTTGTTTATTTTATACAAAAGTTTAAGTCTTTTATTTATCAATTGAGGCAGTACGAAGTCTGCCGGGTCAGCTAGTGTGAAATAAATTTCACACGAAAATCTCACGACATGAAGGTTTTATGTCAATCAAAAGTATCTAATACCATACAACCCCAATTTCATTCTTTAACCCAATTCTTTAAAAATCATGTTTTTCTTTTAAATTTTTTTTTATTCAAAGTTTCAATAATACATTTGGAGCTAATTGTCATAGTTCAAGATTTGGCTTATATGGTATATTTGGACGTTGATCGATTGGTCAACGTCACTGATTCAAAAAGTGCACTTCTCCAATAACTGATTTTTGTTGCCCAACTTAAAATAATTATATTGCAGTGAATTCCATCACACCTTGGACCGGACGGTAATGAGATAGTTGATCGTTTATTAAAAGGAAGCAGGATCTGACTTAGAAATGTATCCTAGTTCTCTTTGGTGTATACTGAGCTCTTACTCTTACGGTAAGAGACAGATGTGTTCAATCATGGACAGAATATTTAGATGAAAGGTCTTAAGGTATTTGGTACAGAAAGACTCAACCCTCTCTTCCTCGGGTGCTTTGGTTCCTTGAGGGCAGGATGAGTATGAAAGCAGTTGTGACAGCTTTATGGCTCCGATCTGGTCACAAAATGCTCAATAGGTTCGGATATATGATACGCTAAATCGACTCATCAAATTGTACTGTCTGTGGAGTCATTGAATGTGCATCATATCCTGACGGAGTGTGGTCGTGTGGGAGTCAGGAGGCGTGCGTCACATTGCTAGATGACGCTAGAACTTTTTATTATATTGTTATTATGGTAGGCTAGTCTAGAATAATTAATTTATTATTGTTTAATTGTATGTGTCTTTTAATTGTATGCAATCATGGGTGACATATTTTTAATAGAAAATTCCCTATAAATAAATAAAGTAAATAAAGATTTGTTTAGACGAGCGAAGTTGAGGATAAGTGAAAGACAATGAAAGCAATTTAAAATAATAATTAAAAACCAAATGTGGAGACATAACTCACGGAAACAACATTGAAAATATCAAACATTGGGATTGTAAAAATGACTTAAGAGTTAAGACATTTAATAAGTTAATTTAGAGAATAAGGGCTTTCACTACATATCTCTGACATCGTTCAGCGGAGAGTGTCACCGAAACTGCGTTGATGCACTTGGTAATGTTCCAAAATAAAATGATTGAATGGCTAGTCATGTAGGAGGTCAGTAAACGATATCTTTACTGTCTGTTATTTAAATAACCACTTTTTAAATAACTAACTTTATTTTAAATATCAGTTTTATAAATCTTGTATAGGATATTAAATTTTTTTGTAATATCACAAAATTTTAGTTGAGTTGAGTTTAAAAGTTGTGTAAAGTACACATGAAATTGCTACCAAGACAATAGTTGATCTTAATCTCTAAAGACTTTATTATGTATGTCATAAAAACTAATATAATAATTTAAATAATAAAAAATATATAATGGAACCATATGTAATTAAATTTGGAGAACCAGGTGATATTTATACTCAAACTCAAACTTTCTTTATTTCACAAAATTTCCAAAATTGTTTGAAATCGTCTTCCATGTAGACTCTAAAGTCATAGATCAACACACACAAAAGCAACAATCTCTGTTTTGTCAAATAGTAACCAAATAAATTTAACAAAAATCAAACCCATACAAAATTTATGACATGCCTGTGCCGATCTACAACCGCCCGTTTCCAAGGGGTTGAGCCTTATGAGAAGAAAGGGCAAACAAACTCATGGCCACTCTTTTGCAATTCACAGGTAGATACAATGGCACTATTAAATATACCACAACATTGTTTTGATGTGTGCTAGTATGTCCGTTATTAAGGACTAAAAGGTGAAAAGACAATCAAGAGAAAACAAGATTAAGAAGAAAAAAACGAATACAAGAGAAAATGAAGTGAAACATAAAAAAAAAAAAAATAATAATAATAATAAACACACTAGCCACACCACATTTTTACTTAAGAAAGAAATAGCCTGCGCTAATTAATCCCAAGCATTCTTGTCCTCCATGTAATCCACAATCGAGTAGTAGGCCCTCTGGCACAAGCCACGTTTTATTGCGGATTTAAATTTGTTAATACTTGACTCTTGAATATTATTTGGGATTTTTTTTATTGACTTTTTTTTTATTGACTATTTTGATTTTTATCGGTTACTAACTCTAACTGTATTATAGCTGAAAAAGGTTGACGGTGAAGCTAAAAATGCACTTGAGGAATCTCTCTCAGCGGTGGAGAAGAGCACGGAGGAGATGCGGCGCGCCCAGCGTGACTTGCAGAAGCACGACGACGAACTGCGCGACAAACTGCAGGCCGCCGTGCAGAGCGCCCTGCTGGTACACCTCTATCTGCTCACCTGTAGTGTCACAGTTCTGCATTCAGTAATAGCGCTAATGTTCCTCGGGGATGACGTATGGTTTCCCTGATGGGGACGTTTACAGTATACTATGTAGCGAATGGAAGTTCACGAATTTATTCATCGTGTTAGCACTCACTCGTCACTCGTGTTAGCTTTAAAACGTTTAGTTCGATTAAGGGGATTGAGTAGGAACAGGCCGGATGAGGGGAGCAATATAGCTATTGAAATGTTAAGCTATATATACAGTAAAGTAAGTATGCAGTCAGTGGCTATGACTCACTAAGTTTTGCTCATTAACAGGAGAGCCAAAAACTCACCAAGGCAGTGACCAGTGACCTGGAGCAAGCCAATAAGAAGTTGTCTTCCAAGATCGTCTCGGCGATCGACGAGTTCGTGCAGAAAGCCGAAGCCGTGCAGAAAAACCTGCAAGAGGCCACTTCCAAGCAGTAAGCTCAAACACTTGACCCGTCATACAATCTGTACATTTTACGATAAAGACCGACCCTGTCGTCGTCTCTCAGGGGACAGTCCTTGACTTGTTTAATTAGCGACCTGAAAGTTATCAAGGAGATAGTCTAAATGAACGAGACGTCAGCTTTGAATCGTGTTTTAAATTAGGAGATTGCCGCAGTAGTTTAGGACGGGTTTCACGAGAGCTCTTTATTAATGTGTGAATGACTTGCAACAAATCCAGTTTTCCAACATATATAACTGCTAAGTATATTTATAAGCAGAGCATCGAGGGATGAGGAGGCAATGAACAAGGCGCTCAAGGAGAGCTCCAAGGCCGTCGAGAAGCAGCTGTCTGCGCTCTCTCTGACTCTTCGCAGTGTGGTTCGTACTTAGTTTATACACTGAGGATTTGCTAAATATAAGTACATGTATTCAATTGGGAGCATGTAAATACCCCATGTCCGTACTGCCGTCGCGGCGTGATCAAAAAGGAGTACCAACAACTCTCTTTGTCACATTCCACATTTGGCATCAGATTTACAATTTACAAAGGTAAAACCTTATTAAAAAAAATAAAAACTTATTGAAAATACTAAAATAAGTGCGATATTATAGGTAGGTAGCAATAAAATAATTATTTTGTTTTTACATTTTATCTTTTCTTAGATTTAATAAAAGTTACCTATATTCTATACTAACTGTGCCCCGCGGTGCTACCCGCGTTTCATCATATACATTTCAATTCATTGTTCATCTAACGGGAATACTACATTTTTTATAAATAAATAAACATAAATTGGTACAAAAAGTAGCCTATGTGTCAGTTTCGGTATAAAAAGGGCCAGGGAGCCCGTAGCTCAAATCTTTTGGGCCCCCTGATGCTGGGAGGAGGACTCAAAGGGTGGCAAGGCACTTGTCAGGTGTCCATGGGCGGCGGTAGTGACTTGCCATCAGGGGACCAACGGTATTAAATGCGTTACTGAAGTCAATTAAGGATAATACTCTATCCATGTTTTCTGTAATGTGTACTAATACTGACACTGTACTGTGTTCTGCAAGCAAGCCAGACTGAAAGGAATTTAGAAGATTGTTCTTTAACAGAAAGTTCTTGAGTTGATTATAAACAAGACGTTCAAGTACTAGAAAGAAAACTTTAGATATAAACAGAGCGATAGTCAAGAAGGATAAATGTTTAGATTTTTCTGGTAAAGGAATAATTTCAGGTACTGTCCATGTAGATGAGAAGACACCGTAGGATAAGGAATGGTCAAAAATGTTACATAGGACAGGGAGAATATCATCAAAGACAGGGTTTTTTTTTTACTGAAGCAGTCGCTTCCTACCGCATTAGATAAGACTGTCTGTTGATTCATTAGAATAGTTAGCATAGAATAGTTGGTTTGAATAGATGAAAGATGTTTTAAAGTTTTAGCTTTTTCAAAATCGGACATAGAGGAAAACTGCTTGTTAAGTGAATCAAGATTTAAGTCTTTTGATATAGGGTTCGACTTTCAAACTCCTAATGTGTTCAGAAATATCTAGATCTTCACCGGATCGTATTTTCAACAGATTTATGGATGTTGGGTTTCTCTACACACCTTATTGTAGTGATTTCTTATTAGGAGATTTCTGATTCGGGACGTACTTTTTCTTCAAGTTTTAATTCCACCAAAAGACAAGCATACTCTCCCAAATAAAAAACAATATTCCAAATGAATTTACAAGTGAAGGAGTTCCGAGATAACAAACATAAAAATAACTGCGTATCAAACATTTGTCTAAATATTTTTAATCTCATTTATTATTTTCTTGTGCACATATCTCTGAAACCCAACACAAACACCCTGTAAATATCTTAAAAGAATACAAATAAAGGTCAATACATAATCATATATTATTATAGAAAGAGTTATCCCTTAACTCCTAAAAGTCAAGGACACTTCCGTCGTCAGCTCAGCAACATGAGCAAATATCTGTATGGATAGAGTAAAAAGTTAAAAAACACAAACAAACGGGAATGTCACGTAGCAAACATAAAAAACTACACACAAAGTCAAATAAAATATTAGTATTGCAGCTTGTACTTTGATGTAGCTGGCTCTTTGTATGGCTCAGTGAAGGTATTCTCGGTACAGGTGGGCGACGCCAAGGGCAAGACCAAGGAGGTCCTGGAGCAATCTCGCAAAAGCGTGGAGCAGACCGCCGAGACGCTGCACCGCACCCAACTCGACCTCGACAAGTACGACAACGAGTTCCAACAACAGATGAAGGCAGTGCAAGGCAATCTGCAGGTAGCCGCCATCTTTCATCTTTATATACGAGTATATTCTTTACTGAAACTATTATTGCGTGTACATAACTCATATCTGGAGACAATTTTCTCCCTCATTACATATCAGTTGTTATGAAGTTTATAAATGAAGACAAGTGAAATAGATAAAACCCCACCACTGGTAACGTCTACAATTATAGGATGGACATACGGGTGCGGAACTTTAGCATCCTGAAGCTGCTATGATCTCAGTCCCGTTTCCCCTGCCGAGACTCGCGGCGCCGCTGACCCTGGCCTCTCGCGCTACCCGTTTTTCTTCCCTTATCCCACAAATAAACGATTAAATTCCCAAGGAGGGCTGGCGTCAAGTCGACAGGCGCTGTAAGCAAAACCAGCCGAAATGCTTTGCAATGTTGTACACATTGCACCGACCCCAAAAATTAATAAACAAACATATGTGAGCTACGAGTGTGGTTGTGGAAGCGCTAATCGCCTGATCTACTATTTGCTTGCTAAATATAGATGCAGAACACATATGATGTAAGCCATACCGAAATAAAATATTTAAATTCCTTATAGAATATTTATAAAATGTCTAAAGTATTGATATATTCCATTCAAGTTATGTTCACCCTCAGGACGCGCAAAAGATTGCTATGGAAGCGACCAGCAAAGCAGAGCGGAAGCTGACGCCAGAAGTCAAGAAGGCATTCGATGAATTTCTGACACAGGCCAAGGCTGTGCAGAAGACAGTGCGGGACGCCGCTTCCTCCAAATAATCCGCTCCGCACCCGCCCACCATTTAACTCTCAATATAAAACATTCCACCTAATCGACGTTTTTATTGCAAACTTTCATACGTTACGCGTCCCCAAATCTCTTCAAACTGGGCAACGATTGTTTCAGTATAGATCTAGACATGCGGGCCGCTTGTCCAGCCAAGTTCAAAGTAAAAGGAAGTGGCGCCGCAGCAGCTGTGTGTACTATTACACGAACCTTATAGCTACTTCTAGCCCCTTCGCAACTCAAAAACTATTTAACCTACATTTGGAATTTAGTAGGTCAAAACCTCCTTGCAAAGGAGAGGCCTATGTCCAGCAGTGGACTATTATAGGCTGTTGATGATGATGATGAAATTTATCACATTTATTAAATCTCCTTCGCTTATTTAAAATCGAAATTTCATGAATTTCGCTTTAAATTTTATTGATATATTAACGTTTAAAAACCGGCATTTTTATGACTGACTCACTGACTTACAGATCAAAAACCTAACCCACTAACATATGACCTAGAAACGTGATATTTGGTATCAAGATAGACTAACAATCTAAAATCTTTAAGTTATTGATACTTAGTATACAACAAAGTAATAATAAATTTAAGTATGAAAGTAGGGGAATACATGGTTACTTTTTATCGTTTTAATCCCGTTGATAGGTGGTTCAACTTACAAAGTACTAGTCATCAATAACTTATTCTGTATTATTATTATTATTTTTGTGTTAGAGGGGGCAGACGAGCAGACGGGTCACCTGAAGGAAAGTGACTATCGCCGCCCATGAACGTCTGCAACTCAGGAGTCACAAACGCGTTACCGGCCTTTTAGGAAGGAGTACGCTCTTTTCTTGAAGATTTGAAGGTCGTATCGGTCCGGAAATACCGCAGACGATAACCCGTTCCACAGATTGATTGTGCGGGGCAAAAAGTGTCTCGATAGGCGCACAGTAGTGGAGCGCCAACTATCCAGGTAATGACGATGAAAATTTTGCCGTGTGGAACGATGGCGGAAACATCAATACGCAAATTTAAAACTAAAATATATTTATAACTAAATAATTATATCCCTAAAACTTAAAAAAATAGGGAGCGATAATATAATATTCGCAAAGTGCAAGAAACATTTAGCGGCGCCACGAGTTAGGTGCGTGCGTGCGCACCCCGCTCGCTCTATCTATATAAATGGTTAGTTTTGTTCACTTAATCGAGAACTGTTTCGAACTTATAACAATAAGTAATTTAATTTTTTACTTTTACCTTCGCAAATCGATACATGCACCCTATCATCCTTCCATATGATTAAATGGACCAAAATCTAACGGTGTGTAAAATTTTGTCAAATAGTAAGACATACACAGGCTACTCAACATTCTGCACAAAAATTACGATTGTGTAGAAGTGTGATTATAACTTAATGTCATTAAACATAAAAATGTCAGGTCATATCTTTCACAAAAAAACAGAAAACCATTGAACTACAATTACAATTTTGAGGCCATTAGCATATAAAGAGTTGTATTGGGATAATTCGTGACTGTAATGTTTGACTCCGTTATGTCCTTCAGATCCCAATATTGTCACATATTAAAGTACTGAATATTATAGTACTGAATAAGAACTCTATCATTTATCTTCATAAATGCACCTACCTCACTCTTTCTCTGCATCGCCCAATCGGTCGACTGGCAGAGAATGCGCCATTAACGTCATTAAGTCCGCCGATGTTCCCATTTGTGCATGAAGTCATAAATAAATAAATATGCAGTAAGTTGTCTGTAGACCTTTGTGCTTCGTATATAATGCAACAACTTTTAAGCGGGTTAAGTCATTAATAACTCTATAGTAAGAAGTAAGCCCTAGTAAGAAGTATTCTGGAATACTGCTTATCTATCTGGGCTCCAATCTATAAAATACATTTTTATTTTATTTTATTCAATAGGTACAGATAAAGACAACAGATCAACACAAACAAAGAGTGGCCTTAGTAATAAACAGTGAGCGAACCTGAAGTCTAATCACAACTGTACACAACTTTCAAAACAAACATTGCTTCGTTTTCAAAATAGGTTAAGGTTGGATTTAAATGTCAATTTATACAGAAAAAGATTTAATAAAATATAGAAAGAGAGGGTCCGTGTGGTGACGGATTAAGAATACAGAGTATCACCACCCCTATTCATCCCGCGAGGGATGCAGGGGAGCAAACTATGCAGGACAACAGCACTGCAAAGAGAAGGAAAACTTGACACAAACCCTATACCAACCCGTCTGGCCAGCGTGGTATAGTAGGCCAAAACCTCCTTTCTAAGGAGAGGCCTATGTCCAGCTGCGGACTATTAAAGGTTGATGTGATGTGAAAATATAGAGAAAAAAAACAACTTAAATTTAAAAAAAATGGATACCTATAAACTTAAGTAAACTACAAAGGTCTTATAGGGTTGTAATGTTATTTAGCAAGAAAGATTTGAAAGATCTAAGCTTGTCGTGAAAAATGTCTACCTGTGAGCGAATAGCATTTATATTTTTAAACATTCTGTGCAAAGGAATATTCTGGGAGACATTCTAAAATGTGCAAGATTGAATATAAAGAGGTAAACAAAATGAGCTAGCTATGAGACTTGTGTTTCAGGCAGTCGCTTGACTATGTTAGTTACAGGACGATCATATGATAAAGTTCTAATAGATTGATCATGTAAATTACTTCAGACTGGTTTGTATACACAAATATATGTTACTTATTGTTTAATAACCTAATCATAGTTTAAATTATATCATTTTAAAATTGCTAAGATGTTTTCTATTTTAAGTTTAAGCTTAAATATTTGCATTTTGTAAATCATTGTCTGTTAAAATTTTAAAATGTATTTTACCTATCAAGTAGAAATATTGTGGCAGCACCAAGAAACAATAAATTGTATTTTAACTTTATTTCACAGCTTCAAGGGCCTGTAGACCTGAGTAATATGACTTTAATTCAAACTCGATACCTCTACGCGTTCCCGAGTTAAAGAGTCTTGACAGACGGACAGACAGACAGACGGACAACAAAGTGATCTTATAAGGGTTCCGTTTTTTCCTTTTGAGGTACGCAACCCTAAAAATGATATGCAATTTTTCACAAATAATAGTATAGGCCCACGAAGTGCTATCAACACGCTTCATGAGACGTTGCTATTACAAATTTCGTAGGGGTTTGAAAAATACTTTTCTACATTTGTGTTTTATATTCTCTTCTCCTTATTTCTTTTGAGAGTCCGCGTAATACTCTAGGGGGGAGTTCCTCCGATGGATTGTACAACACTCAATATATTCATAATAAAAGGCTTTTAAGAATTGAATTGAATTGTATTGAATTGAATTATCCAACCATCTCACTTTGGAGGGAAAGTCAAATTTTTTCCCACTCCCCCGAAGAGCGCCAACCATCCTGGTCCAGGAAAATGGAAGAAGGCTCGAACTAGCAGACCTGATAGAAAGTGACTACCACCCATGAACGCATGCAACTCAGGAGATACAAGAGCGTTGCCGGTGAGATGATTGGGGGGGGGCTCGGTTCCTTTGAGGAAGGAGTACGCTCTTATTTGTATCGATCCAATGAAAAAGAAGGTTCTCAGTCGATCTACAACCTTAGAAGAGTACCTTTACCCTTTAGAGAGATACATACACTGGACAGCAAATAAACCGAGCCACCCGCTACCTAGGCACTCTAATTCGATTTTCTCAAAAACTAAAAAACCTACAATTAACAAAGTTGTACCTACAGAAAGTGCGTTTCATGGTGATTAAAATGAAAGGAAACTCATTGGGTTTAATCAATATTTCAGTGTTTATTAAGGATTTTACAAAGAAGAGTCGTTTTCCAGTCGTGACAATCGTTAGTAATGATAAAGTGAAAAAAAAATTAAAGCCAAAAACAAAGATAAAATCAAAAAAAAGTTTTTGATCAATATTCCGTATTCCCTCCCCTTGCTCGGATAACTGCCAGCATCCTTGTATTCATCGACCTTACGAGCCTGACGATAAAATCTTGAGGAATTGTATTCCACTCCTCTTCAATTGCGATTCGCAGCTCTGGAAGCCTTGTTGGAGCAGGTACCCGGGCTCGAACCCGACGTTTCAGCTCATCCCATAAGTGTTCTATCGGATTCAAGTCCGGGCTTCGAGCTGGCCAGTCCATCGTACGAATGCTGACGTCGCGTAGATACTGGGTCACCACATGAGCAACATGAGGCCGTGCATTATCATGCATCAATTGCATATCCTGTCCGATATATCCTGCGTAACGTACCACATGGTCTGCGAGGATTTCAGTAATGTAGCGATGAGAAGTCAGTCCACGTGTACGGCCCGTCGGTTCGATGAAAACTAACGCTGTATGTGCTGTTAACGAGATGCCGCCCCAGACCATTACAGATCCTCCTCCATAAGCAACAGTTTCCTCGATGCAACACTGAGAATAACGTTCTCCAGGGCGACGATATACTCTCTGACGTCGATCACTTCCATGTAGACTCACCCTGGTCTCATCAGTGAAGAGTACATTACTCCACTGCTCTAATGTCCAATCCCTATGCTCTCGAGCAAATTCAAGTCGTGCTCGACGGTGTGCTACCGTTAATGCTGGGCCTGTTGCAGCTCTTTTTGGCGTCAGGTTCCGTTCAGCAAGTCTCCTTCTAACGGTATCTGAACTTATGACCACTTGGCGTTCGTCACGCAGACTTTGTTGGACTTGAACTGCGTTGAGGTGGCGATTTCGCAGAACAGTAAGGTGGATATAACGATCATCTGCTGCTGATATAGCCCTAGGTCTGCCCGTACCTGGACGGCGATCGAATGCTCCAGTCTCTAGGTATCGTCTGTAAACTCGTTGCACCGAAGATCTGCTGATTCGAAGCCTTCGAGCGACTTCACGTTGCGCAATGCCTACTTGAAGTAATGCTACAGCTTGAGCTGCTTCCTGAGGTGTTGTATCCATTGTTAATCGAAAAAAGTACCAAAAACACACGCGTCTGAGCAAACGATGGACAAAAACTAAAGAAATGATAAGAAATATCCGACTACCCGCATTGTAGAGAAAAAGAACGCTAATTTCAAACTCTGGTGAAAACAGAGCAAATCGTTAGCATTGTGTTTGTTGCTTGATTACAATGTGAGTTGACGGTACTTTCGAATTAATTTTTAGTCATTTTAATCACCATGAAACGCACTTTTTGTAGGTATAACTTTGATAGTTGTAAGTTTTATACTTTTTGAGAAAATCGAATCAGAGTTCCTAGGTAGCGGGTGGCTCGGTTTATTTGCTGACCAGTGTATGTCATTAGATACATCGCGGAAGAAAGCAGGATCTAATAAGAAATCAAATTGTCATTAGGTCCATTATGGATCTGGCCAATGAATCTTTTGCGATTAAACCTTATGATTTCTTCTTTAACCGTTAAAATACTTTTCCCCTTGCCAATGTAAGACAAATTAGCCGCTTTATTACATAAATCCATTTCAATATTCGTCTAGTTTTATTTACGCAACTAAATAAATATAGTAAGCATCTACCTATTTTTTTATGTTAATCTAAATAACTATCTAAATCTAAACTAACTAAATCCATGTCGTAACCCCTTTTAGGGTTCCGTACCTGAAAAAGTAAAAAAGCAACCCTTATAAGATCACTTTCCTGTCCGTCTGTCCGTGTGTCACCACCGATTTTCTCAGGAACGGGGAGACCTAGCAAGTTGAAATTTATACCAGATACTGAGGTCTATGGTACCTATTAGGCGTGTAAAAATCAAGGTCCTGAGTCAACACGATAAAAAGATATGGGCAAATTTCGATTTTCGCGAAAACTTGTAAGTACTAAAATTTACCTTAATTTTCAATTTTTTTTATTTTTCAGAATTTTCTCTTTACTTGTGCTGTAAGATCTACAGCTACTGTTGTTGTCGTTGCTGTTACTTAACGCTAGCATTTACTTCAAAATGTTTGCTTATATTGGATTTGCCTAAAAGGATGGCTAAGTAGAGCGGTGGTGGATTTATGTTGGTGGTGGATTAATGTTGGTGGTGGATTTGGGTTGGTGGTGGTGTTACAATCGCGTGTCTCGTGTATAATTAATTCTTAAAAAATAATAAGTCTACATTTTTTAAAGTTTAGTAAGTGTTAACTTATTATATTAAGTGCAATAAATACTACCCATCGTTAGTGGAACATTTTGTAAGGTGTAAATGTTAAAAAAACAGCCGTGAAGTTTTTTTACCTGGACACAGTGTTTTGTTGCCACTGTTAATAACCGGTGTAATAATTGAAGTGAACTATAACTACAGCAAGCATTAAGGAACAAAGAAGAGTTTCAAAGTATAAACGAAAAAAACTCAAACACTACAAGATTGAGAATAAACAAAACAAAATAGTGCCAATTCTACTGAAGCTCAACCAGTGATAAAAAAGTGAGAAATAAACTATAACAAGTGACAAACATTCTTCTAACTAGGTGTAAAGAATGTGAAGAAATTCTTAATTCATGAGTACACACTAACCGTTCTACTAGTTTAAAAAAATAAAAGTTATATATATGTTAATATAACGATAAAGGATTACGATATAAGATAATTAGGCTAACTCAAAAGGTACAAAATAATCATTTTATTAACACCGCTAGTAATAAATCAAATGCATCATGGCAAATAATTAATAATAAAGCACGCAACACTGAGCCCATAACACAAATAAAAGTAAATAATAACACTATAAGAGACCCGAAAGATATTGCTAATTACTACAACAATCACTTCATTGACCAAATAAATAGTAATAAAAAACCGAAGGTCTTGGACATTAGATTGATTAATAATCCTAACACAATGTTTATGATGCCTGTGATGCCACAAGACGTTATGGGAGCAATACAAACTTTAAAAAATAAGAATAGTGTTGGCTACGATGATATAGCTACTAAAGTAATAAAGTTGTAATACACCTCAGTCACATCTATGATGTGAACTGAACAATGGCAGGTCCCCATACATAATTTTATTTGAACTAAAATGGTAGCGTTTAAATATCAAAAATGCCTAAAACGCTTGAGAATTTATTCTTGACCATTCTCATAACAAAATTACTAGCGAAAGAAGTCTAGGAAAAAAGATATTGTATTTTGAATGTTTCGAGGTTAAGTACTAACATATTGTCAATGTTTTGTTTGAAACTAGATGGCGTTGTGTCTCATATAACAGAAAATATTATTTTCATTATTATTAATCATTAACAATCTTATTTTGCTGTTGAAAGTGTTAGTGTTATTTTACCAACACAATAGAAAAAATCTTCGCTCACCGAGGTGTAATACTAGCTATAAATAAATAAATAATAAATTGAAATAATAATTCGAATAATTGTACTTAAATACACATTTCCACAAGCCAGAAGCAATTTATTTATTTATTGGACAGCTAGTAGTTTTTACATTATTTACTAAAATCTAAAGCATGCATCCGTTACATTGAGATTAATGCACAACATTTTAAGGCGTCACATCATGCATAACAGATACAGGTGAGTGCGGCACTCGACAGGATCCAAACGGCGACGTATCGACATTTTGAAAATATCGATGTATCTCTATTTATGAGCCGTTTTTAACGACAATGATTTTTTCTCATCACACTGTGCAGTATATTGTTAGACTGCGAACATTGTTAAAATAACGTAACTATATTCTATTAATTTAGTCTAGCAAAAATCGTTTAAAAAGAGTCAAAAATATTCCAAATTATTTGTAATTATGTTGATTTAGTCACTCTACCGCGCGAGTGATCCCGTGTGCAGAAGCAAATTCATAATCATAAAAGGTGAACCTTCGGTAGATATTTCAGCCAAAGCTATAAAAGCGATTATCGATAAAACGTTTCATAATATAAAAATGCCATCACGCATCCCTAGTCGGTTATATGTGATGGCGAATCTGACATTACGTACTTAGTCAAATAAAATCTTCAAAAATATCCGATCTTTTATTAGACTTATACAACACATGGTAGTGCAATGATAAATCATAGAAAAAATATTTATTTAGTTTATGTTGTGTCAATTTTTTAAACGCTTGAGTTTTAGGTAAATATGTTTCTGCCATTGTTCTTGGCGTTTTTCCAACCGCGTTAAAGACAGTAATTATTAAACCACTGTATAAAAAAAAATGACAAAGATAAACTTGAACTTGTTTGCATGCCTAGTCCAGGTAGATTGTATAAGGATTAGAAAACTTGTTAACGTCACTATTTTATGTACCTACAACCAATGCAAATATAATATATTCTATTCTATGTTCTTTTAGTATGAAAGGAGTATCTATGTATATATAAGTAGTCTGTAGAATGCAGGGACAGATCCAGGAACCTGCCTTGATCTTGAGCAGACTTCAGATCGATTTTGTTTTTAATTAATATTATTTAACGGGAATTAACGCGATCTCTTATTTAGGGTATTACATACCTCTGGTTTGCCCTAATACCCTAAATAAGAGATCGCGTTAATTCCCGTTAAATAATATTAATTATTATGAACATTTAATGTTTGATTTGGTCTGGGTGTTTCTATGTATAATAAGTATGTATTTACAAAAAAAAAGGATATATGTATTTATATCAGTTGTCTAGTACCCATAGTACAAGCTCTGCTTAGTTTGGGACTAGATGGCGTTGTGTGAATGTGGTACAATATTATATTATTATTATTATGTCTTTCAATTTACCTTGTCTCGCACATTCAAGAAAGTTCGCACCTCATTATATTTTCAAAGCACTAGAACGCTTTGCTGAAGCTTTAAAACAGAAATTGTATTTTTCATCACACCTTTTACGTTTCTTACTGATTGCAGACATAGCATACTTATCCAAAATCGCTAATAGTTCAGTGAAGTGCCCAAACTTGTTAGGTAAAAAATGATTAGTACCACATCCCACAAGTCAGCGCAATCCTAGTCATCTGTATGTTCCCTGCGTAAAGAGTACATAACAAATAGACAAAATTAATTTATAATACGTGCGACTACACAATATAATAAAATTTCACCTCTATATGAAATAGACCTATATATATGGTACCAGTGTTCATAAACTTAAAAACATTTTAGCTAATAAATGTTTTGATTGATCACAAGTGCTGGTTTTGTCTTAGTTTACTAACTTCCAATTTAATGCTACACTTGTATTTCTGAAAGCAGATCTAATTTGTAAATCAGATGTTCGTGTATTATACCTTATGTTTTTAAAATTCTAGATGTGAATATCCCAAACAGAGAGAAATATAATATTTAAAAGATCTCAACGTTGTCCAGGCTGCAGATGTATACAAATTGTTGGTAATAAATATTTAAAAAATCGAGAACTCTTCACAGTACACATAATTTCTTTCATTTGTTTTCACTTTTAACTGATTTTAGATTAATTAATAATGTATAGAGAGTCGATACATAAATCGGTAAGGATCTAAAATAAACTTGAAATCTCAATTATTTTTATACATGCCGATTACCCCTTCTTTAGTAGGCCGAACCCTCTTATCTAAGCAGAGGGTTATGTCCAACAGTGGACTATTAAAGGCTGTTGATGATGATGATATCCCTTCTTTTTTTTGGATTAACTTTTTTTTTATCAATAATGAATGAATGAACTATAACCTCGACTATGACCTATAACTATTGTTCAGTTCGATGAAATGATTTTTATTTCATAAATTTGACTCTCTATAGGCTACAAAACTTAAAACTACAAGGTACTTCGGAATATATTGGACACAAGTTTCCGTTGTTTAAGGTTTTATATAGTTTGACGTGATTTTAGATAGATTAAGGGAGGGAGTGTGATCAGTCACTGGTAGAATGTCGGCTTAATGTTACGGTTTAGTGGATATACGGCACCAGGGGATGTAGAACAGGGCAAGTACGCAAAGAAAGGCGAATTAGGAAAACAATTTTATTGCGTTTCGTGTCGTGTGTGGTGAGCTCACTGTTTGGTAGCAGCATCGTGCACCTTCTTCTGCACGGCCTCGGCCTGCTTCACGAACTCTTCGAACGCCTCCTTGATCTTAGGAGCCAATTTCTCGTTGCTCTGCTCCAAATTGGTGGCCACTTCCTTGAAGTACTTCTGGGACTCCTACGGATGAGCGACACTTTAATAGGCCGTCTTAGTGACCATTGAATGGAATCTTCGTGCCGATAATATCCCGCTTATAATATATATATATATATATACATATATATATATACATATATACATATATATATATATATATATGTATATATAAAACTACGCAGGACAACATCTACGCAAAGAGAAGGAACACTTGACACAAACTTTATGTACCCATACCAGTCTGGCAAGCGACAGCGTGATATAGTAGGCCCAAACCTCCTTTCTAAGGAGAGGCCTATGTCCAGCGGTGGACTATTAAAGGCTGTTGATGTGATGATGAGGAAAAATATATATACATATACTATCCCTTTAAAAAGTACAGCATAAAGTGAAGTTTGCAAACTACAATGTCGTGTTTGTTAAATTTTTGAATATTGAATCGTTAAAGATAATTAAATTCTATAAAACTAAAGGAACGTGGCGGAACATGGTTACCTGCAGGGTGGACTGCACGGCGGTCTGTAGCTTGTTGCGCAGCTCATTGGCGTTCTTCTCAACGTCAGGGTGAGTGCGCTTCAGTTCCTCCGCGGTTTTCTGCACGTTCTGCTGCATCTGCTCCAGGGTCTCCTTAGCCTTGCCGTTAGCGTCGGTCAACTGGAACATCATTGCGTATTACTATGAGCCACACACATAATTACACATAACGAACCGACAGACATATGGGTCCTTAACTCATCATATAGAATCTTCAGAAGTAAACTAAACTTATGCAGAGACTAACCGCACTTTGGATGCTAGATGACAGCGTGGACAGTTGCTTTAAAACTTCGTCGGAACCATCCTTGAGCGCCTTGTTTACGTCCTGAACGTTCTTCGAGTTGGTGACTGCTTGGAAATGTTCGCTGAAGGTCTTTTGGAAATCAGCAACACGCTTCTCGAAATCCTGCAGGAAACTGGAAGTAGGCGCAGGTGCATCTCGGCGCACTACACTAGCTTGGCTCTGAAACACAATTAGAAGACATAAGTGGGGTTGAACGTTGAGAGACCGTCATCGGTAGCTCCTCGATATGAAGGGCATACTCACGAGAGCGAAGATAGCAAAGAAGATGATAAACTTGGCTGCCATTGTGGACAAATTATATGTTTCTGAACAATACGGTGAGTCGGAAGCTCGTGTGCTTCTGCCTGTAACACAAGAGCGAATGTGGCGGGATTGCGCTCACAGAGCGTTATATAGCACTATCTCTGACGATAAGAGAGCGGGCGTGGCCGGGAAGCGAGCCTGTGCTCACGGGGGAAACTTTCCACCGCCCTCGTCCCGCTGTCGCCCTCATTGTTTACAAACACACTGTGATCCGGATGGTCCCGAGCCTGCACATTCCACCGGCAGTACTCACGGCCTCGGTTCGTACACGACACTGTTACTCAGGGACATACATAACATATTTAACATTGACAATGAGTTCACGTGCCTACTCTTGTTATCTCGCTGACCAGATTATGAAATGGAAACTGTTATTGTCGCATCCGGTATTCAAAATAAATCATTACAGTTAATGCGTTAGTTCCTCAATAAAAATCCAAAAATGTTCAACGCTAGTTAGTTTTCGCAAATTAACTAACTTAGTGATAATGCACTGATGTAAGCACGGATCCACGTTGCTCTCGCTGAGGAGTACGAAACGCGCGAAGCTGTAAATGTCGCCGAGATTCCTTTTTATTACTCAGTTTTAAGTATCAATAAGATTAATAACATTTAATTTCATTTTTAGCATTTAAATATTAAAATAATGACATAAAATGTAGGATAGTAAGTGTATGGACATCTGTAGCAGCACGAGTTGGTTGTAGTAACCAGAGGTACCTCGTGCCCTATTCCGCACCTCTAAGAACGTGACGCAGGATTCATGATTATTTATATATATATATATTTATATATATATATATTTATATTATAAGTCGGTAAGTAGTGAGGGCATGAAGGTGTAACAAACAAACACATTGGCGTTTATAAAGCGCATTTGTTATAATTGAGCCAATACATTTCATCTAAATGTAAAATGGAATCTGTCTGTTTAAGTACACTACTCTATAGTACAGTTGTAACTCTAGAAAAGACCGGGGGCCAGCGCTGGAAACTGCTACAGCCGGGTGATGGAGATTTCACACGTACAAGAAACGCTATTGATTTAAATGTTGACCATGTTTTGGAGCCTAGGATTAGCCTCTTGTATCACATGTTTAGATAACATTATTTACTGATGTAATGGCAGCTATTAGTCAATCATCCATTAGTTAATTAGACTCTGATCACTCGGTTATCCGATAACGTTTCCTAAACAAGGCAGATGTGAAGCAAGGAAATGTTAGAAAAAAATTGACGAGATTGAATAAAAATTAACATTTATTCCTAACAAAAATTCAGTCAGAAAGACTCCGATTTTGTCAAGTGCCCAGACATTACCAGCAGTAATGGGGTACGCTATATGCATCTTTGGATGAAAGCGCTCAAAGTTTAAGTTATATTGACAAATCATCGAAATCCCTATGAAACCAACATAAGTTATTACTTTAAGTAGGTAATGTAAAAATAAAGAGGCACATCAATGAACTATGCCTCGTAGATACACTTTTTGAAAATAACTTTTAAAGAAGTTTATAAATAATTAAAAATAGAAATAGAAATAAAATAAATAATTAAACACTAATGTTACAATGTAACGATGCACAAATATTACCCTTTCTCGACACATGTTTTTGCTAGGTCTCTTCGAAATCGTTAAGCGGGTGTTACTGCAATGTATATACCTGATCCACAGATCGCGTGACATACCTTCAGATCACGCTAATATGAAGCGTATAGATAATTAGTGTACCTACTCTCCGGGTATCTAAGTGCACGGCAATGCCTTCGCCAAGTCAAACTAAAAGAACGAACAAACAGAGGCACAGCACAGCCCACCAGAATCTAGAATATTCAGTTACTGAGATGGTATACCTAACGCACTTAGGTATACTAGGCATGCCTTTTAAGTTCTGTCGTTTCGATATTTCCCGGCTATTTTGAATTTGGAACTGTTCTATTTTCGAATGTGTTTAAATTTAGAATCTCAGACAGTTGAAAGTATTAGGATTAATGCTATTGTTTAGTCATAGCGTAAATTGGAATCTGCCAGGTTACGTACGAAAATGAATCTTTCTAAGGAAAATGTTCGTGCAATAATTTTCTACAACTTTAGAAGAGGCCTGACACGAGGCTTCAGTGTTTGGAAGAGCTAACATCTGTATTCAGTAATGAAGCCCCATGTCTGCGGACTGCCGGACGCTGCTATTTAGAATTCCAGCGTGGACATACTAGTGTTAGTGACAAATTCCGCGAAGGACGCCCAAAATCCGCCTTCACTGAAGATAATATCATTCCTGTAAGACAACTAATTCTCGAAGATCGTCATGTGACGTATCGAGAGATAGAGGCTCTATTAGGCATTTGAGGGACAACCATTCAGAAGATCTTGCATGAAGCGCTTGGTGTGAGAAAGCTAGTTTGCCGTTGGATACCGCATATGCTTTCCGACGATCACAAGGCGGCCCGCGTCAGATGGTGTAAGAAAACTCTGCAAAGTTTCAACCGAGGAGAGTTAAATCACGTCTACGACATCATCAGTGGTGGCGAATCTTGGATCCATGCCTACGATCCCGATTCCAAACAACAATCTACAATCTGGGTTTTTCAAGACGAGCCAAAGCCGACTAAAGTTGTTCGTTCTCGAAGCACTTCAAAGAAGATGATGGCCACGTTCGTTGGAAAAACCGGCCATGTTGCGACTATTGCACTTGAAGATCGTAGAACGGTTAACGCAGAGTAGTATACCATAGTTTGTTTACCACAAGTCATCGCCGAACTTCAAAAATCTAACTCAAAGCGACGCATCATCCTGCACCACGACAACGCAAGCTCACACAGCGCTCGTCAAACGATTGAGTATTTGAAGCAGGAAAAAGTAGAAATTCTTGACCATCCTCCACACAGTCCTGACCTAAGCCATAACGATTTCTTCACATTTCCTTAAATTAAGAAAAGTCTTCGTAATCAAAGGTTTCAGTCCGGTGAAGAAGCAGTCGACGCTTTCAAGTCAGTCATTTTGAACACCCCCACTTTAGAGTGGAATAAATGTTATAATAACTGGTTTGAGCGAATGGACATGTGTATTAAGCTACGTGGTGAATACTTTGAAAAACAATAAAAATTACTATAAGGTTCTAGTTGTGTTTTTTTCTTCACACGACAAAACTTAATAGGCATGCCTCGTACTTCTAAATTACTTTCAATCTGCAGAATCTGCAGTTTAAGCACTCGGCAAGTCAAAGTTCCTTAAATTTCTACCGAATTAATTAATAATAAATAAATAAATAAAAATAAATAAAAAGAATTGTACAATTATTAAAAATTCTAAATTATAGCCAAAAAAATCTATTTACAAAAAAAAATAAACATGTTTAATATTGACGCGATTGTTAAAAAGGCTTGTTAGTTAAGGATTTTAAAACTTTATGCAGCAAAAAAAAACTATGTTGCGACTTGCAAGACTTGGATTTTCATGTTATAATTATGAGAGAATACTTATTACTTCACGCTAAAGTCATCTTCATACTCGACAAGATATGAATAGTTCGCCAAAGTAGATGGCTCGGCATAAAAGTAATAAAATAAAATACTAGCTAGGCGGGGTCCACGAGAGCCTACGATACTCGTCCTGCGGTTGTCCAAAAAGTTATTACAAGTGAACGACTTGTTGCTCGCCATCATTTGCTTTACGTTTTGAGCTTATTACAGCAACACAAAAGTTGCAATTATATAAAGTATGTTTCGCGAGGTGCGTTATCTCATCCGTGACCCTCGCAGTGATAGCGCGACCCCTTCCCGCGCAGCCCGCCCCAGCCCCGGGGGTCACACCGTGTCATCGTCCGCACACTGAGCTCATTATTTCCAATATGTTATGAAAGGTTCGGATACGCACACAAACTTGCCTTGGACTTCGAAATAAACTATGAGAACTCGATCGTTTTAAGGACAAACATGTTTTGATATCATAACAAATGTGAAGCGTCATGAGCACCAACTACTGCCGGGCTTTGGAAGGGAATAGTGCTGAGAGCGCGAGTTGACTGACCCGGAGCGGTGCGGTAGTAGATAAGGCAGTAGGTACGTGTTACCACTATGACCGTCAAATCATGAGCTAACCCATGACGTCACGTCACCTTTGACCGCGGATTCACAATTAGGTGTGGGCCGTGCAGAGTCCACAGTCAAGTTGTAAGTCTTCATTCCGGTGGTGGAAGCTCTAGAGGGACTTCAAACTCAAACTCAAACTCTCTTCATTTCATAAAAAAATTAAAATTGTTTGAAATCGTCTTTTATGTGGACTCTAAAGTCATAGATCAACACGCACAAAAGCAACAATCTCTGTTTTGTCAAATAGTACTCGTAACGTGACAGTGTAGTAGTAAAGTGAAAGTGGCAAGTCAATATATTTATGAAAATGTAATACAATATATGTTCATAAAAACAAAGATAGCTTTTTGAAAAAAAATGTGATGTACATTCTATAAATACCAGAAATAGAAATAAACTTTTAGTACCCGTCTCTAGGCTCCAAAAGATAAACAAGTCTTTTCGAGATCAATGTGTTCGATTTTTATAATAAAATTCCAAATAATATTCAAGACTTAAGGATTAACAAATTTAAATCCGCAATAAAACGTGACATAGATAAAAATGCTTGGGATTCATTAGCGCAGGCTATTTATTTCTTAAGTAAAAATGTGGTGTGGGCTAGTGTGTTTTTTATTATTATTATTTTTTCTATTTTTTGTGCTTCACTTTTATTCTCTTTTATTCTCTTTTACTCGTTTTTTTTCCTAATCTTGTTTTGTCTTCATTGTCTTTTTACCTTTTAGTCCTTAATAACTGACATACTGGCACACATCAAAACAATGTTTTGGTATATTTTAATGATGCTATTTTATCTATCTGTTAATTTAAAAACAGTGGCCGTGAGTTTCTTGCCCTTTCATCTCGTAAGGCTCAACCCCTTGGAAATGGGCGGTTGTAGATCGGCGCAGGCACATAATAGATTATCGATACGTGTTTATTTATTTTGCTAAATATTTGACAAAACAGAGATTGTTGCTGTTGTGCGTGTTGATCCATGACTTTAGACTCTATATACGCGACGATTTCGAACAGTTTTTTAACAACTCTTTTTTTTTAAATAAAGTATATACTTTGAGTTTAAGTTTGTACTCATCTACTGAAAATAAATGTCAAAACCAAGGTTTGACTTTCACAATTGAGTGCAGGAAGCTTATAGGTACTAATTATACACATTCCAAATTAAAAGGCAGAACGCCTAATTTTAACTTATGCCGATCAGTCTGTGGTGTGGCCATCTCACGGTAAGTTCCAAAGTCGGGAGTCAACACAGGCTCAACCTACACTCCGTCGCGTCCCACGCCCTCGCCTTGGACCAGTATTGATTAATTAATCGTTTGATGTAACGATGTAAACACTAATTAGTAATAACTGTGTGGCGAGTGTAAACATAAGTGCACGCAGAGGGCAGATCCGGGAGGACGGTACACGAGGCCGCTGCGTGGTCGAGGAGGGGCCAGTGGTGCCAGTGCCACTATTGGGGTGGGTACGTACGTGTGCAGCGTGGTGCGCGGCGAGGTGTCGAGATGCGCGTGCGACGGTCGCGGTCACGCCACTAACCTGCGCACGGGTGGACCCGTGCACATTGTTAGCGCTTCATCATCACACATTGTTCTTTGTATGGATTGCTGCGCAACGGACATACGTGCATATTTAAAGTACGCAAGAGGGCTGAACCGCATGAGTTTTAGTTTAGATATTAACGTACGATAAATGCTTGTCATTATTTCTTGAAATCGCCATGGGTTTCCTGTAAACCCCATAATATAATTTTTTTGTCTAGCGCGGGGTGCTTTTCAAAATATTTTTTAATATAATAACTTTACTTTTACTAATATCTGTCAATCAAATATTTTTACAACAATTGAGATCTAACACCCCACGCATTTTTTACGATGAAATGATTTTTCTATTTGATGTTATAGAAAGTTATTTTCTGCTCGGTAGTTCAGCTGGTTACAAAAGCGTGTTTATTTTTAATTTTTTAAACTATAATTTATTTTTGCTTTTTTAGTAATTAATGATGATTATTTTCTTATTAAGACTAAAAAGTAACAAGTAAGTAAGTCACATATGCCTTGGCACACGATTCTTAGTAAGTAGCAAAAGACACTACCGTATTTTCAGGTATGGGAAAAGCCATTAATCCTGAAAATCCTGATCTGGATAAAATATGTAATAATATATAATGTATATGTAGTAATACCCGTACAATGGCCAAATTTATCAAATAATTGTATTGTAATCGATCCTTGATTAGTGTGCGAAGTTTCAATTTAATTCTACACTTTGCAGTGGGCCACAATCACGTTCAAAGATTCCGTTACATACATACATACATACCAAGCTATTAACAACGTGTTAAAAAGGGATCACAGTGTGTAATAATCAGTGGTCGAGGTGGGGCAGAGCTGATTTTTGGTACGAATATAAATTTTGAGGTAGGACGGTGGATCCCACTTGAATCTTTAAGCAATCAAACCACTTAATTACCTACTAGTGGATTGGTGTTTTTGTAGTTTAACGTGAACTTGTTTCTAGCGAAGATGACGATGTTATTCTAGTAAAATGCAGACAACCACCCTTATTGTAACCACCACCCTTCGCACTCCTGCCCTTCCAAAGGTTGCATAAGACTGCCTATTGTGCAGACGTATTTTGTTTTTATTGATGTTATTACAATAAAGAGTAAATAAATAAAGAAGTTTATTTTCTGTCAGCCCTACAGGAGCGAGTTGATGATGGCCAAGCTGCAAGGTCGACACCAGATAATGTGCATGTGTGTAACCACACCTACACATTATGTGCTCGTCTGTGAGCGACTGGATGACAACATTGACATCAGGGTATATATTAAACGTATTTGTGAGTTCGTAATACGCGCCAAGTGCGTGAGGGGACTAACGATGGGTTCCAAGTGTAATTGTAAACACAACACTCATCGGCGCACTTGTGTGCGAATATTGTAACGCTTCTCTTCTAAGTTTTAGTGGTTCGAGCACAATTGTCGCTTAGCATATCGCCATCCTTGAAACTTTAACTTACTATACATAAATGCAAAAGTGTGTTTGTCTGTCTATTACCTTGAATTGATTGATGAAATTTGGTAAGGAGATAGTTTGTTTTTTTTTTTTGTATGGACCGAGAGGCGGCCGCAAAATTGCCAGGGTATTGATGAAAACCATTAAGAGTGATGGTATTATTATTTATTGCTAAAAGCGCCATGATTGCCTGGATTCCGTATGACCCTAGGAGTGGGGGAAGTATTTTTTATTGCAAAATTCACGTACTTACTTGGTCCATATGCTATAGTGATCAAACCTACGTAGGTAAAATTGTAGAGTTTAGTGTTAACAAAAAAATAAATGATTGCCTGGATAAAAATGATCCAAGTTGAGGCTATCACGAGTCTTTTAGGTAGTTTATTGGTTGACATAGGTTTGATCACTATAACATATGGACCAGGTAATTATGTAATACTTCCGCCATTCCTGGGGTCATACGGAATCCAGGCAATCATGATGTTCTAGTAAGTAAAGTAAGTTTACTTCCTTAAATGTCACTAGATGGCGCTGTATTATCAAGGACCTAAATTAAAACTCGATGTTAAGAGTCACCGCAGGTGAACGACTTGGGGAATTGTTTTTGGTTATGTAGATCTTAAGTTTAGAGGAAACTTTATTCAAAAATGGTTTTCATGAATATAACAGATACCCTGGAAATTTTTCAGCCGCCTCTCTGTCCACTACTTTTTATCGCGATAACTAACATAGACGCGGGCGGAGCCTGGGGGCAAAAGCTTGTCACTTATATCCCTATCATCATCATCAACAGCCTTTACTAGTCCACTGCTGGACATAGGCCTCTCCTTAGAAAGGAGGTTTTGGCCTACTATACATGCTGGCCAGAGGGGTTGTTTCAAGTTTTCCTTCTCCCTGCAGTGCTGTTGTCCTGCTTAATTTGCTTCCTTAGTCGCCTCTTACGACACCCACGGGATGAATAGGGTGGTGACACACTGTATTCTTAATCCGTCACCACACGGTCCCTATACGTGTATGGTATTACGTGTATTTTTAACAGTTGATACACGTAAAGTATCCATGTTTACCTATTCCGATAGGCGATAGCACCCGCAATGTCGCGGGCGGCTGCTGATAAGCTGTAAATGAATCAAGCTGCTAACAAACAAATGCCTAAACGTTTGACATTGTTATCTTCATTCTACAAACACAATAGAGCTAAATCAAGTGTTTATTGCGTGTTAGTGTCATCTCTTTCTATGCGTGAGTACTTTGAAATAAGCGAATTGTTAAAAAAAAACTTTAAAACAAACTTTTATGACCCTCACCAAGTATAAAACACATGAGCCCAAACTTGATGGGTTTATCTTGTTAGTTAAGAAGTTCCTATGGCTGTCTTCTAGCTCAATCATGAGAACAGCTCGTGGCATCCTATTATTGTACTGTCAATGAAGGGACATATGTACACCCCTTTTTTTAAATGCGGAGAATACTTTTCGCACCATACCCTACGTTGGGGTAACGGAGGGCGTATGTGGGACTCCCGGAGAACCGGTCAACCCACTAAACCCCTTTTTTTTAACGTTTGGAAACCCCCTCGGGCCGTTACCCCATTGGGGTTAGCGGCGGGGCGGTGTGTGGGAATGTAACGGACTAAAACCACACGGTGTGCTAGCGTGGTATAGTAGGTCAAACCTCCTTTCTAAGGAGAGGCCTATGTCCAGCAGTGGAATATTTAAGGCTGTTGCTGATTTGATTTGACTAAATTATAGGTGATGACGACTCTATATCCACAAAATCAAAGGCTATGGCAACTAACCCTGTACAACATCCCCGTACAGTAGCTTTTAGTTGCCTGATAAACCTATCAGGCAACTCAAAGCTACTTGGATGTTGAACGACTCCAAACTCCCTAAAATTCCCAAAGGCAATGTTTATGTTGCGCTAAGTCGCGTAAAGATGGCACGACGATGGTCTTGTTCTTTGCAACTTAGAGACACACAAAGTGAAAAAACTACTAATTGTAAATATTTAAATTAGAACACTAAGACAAGCCAGGTATGCTCTTTCTATAAAAAAATAACTTTGGGAATCGGAACACAAGTGACGGAGTAATCGGTGAACATACATAAAAAAAATTACATACAGTGGAACATAGAGCCTCCTTTTTTGAAGTCGATCTAAGCGGGCCTATAAATATTGCATATAAAGATGTCCTGTAGTATGGTCCTATCATAATAATAGTATAATTAATTACTCCACACTGAATCCACATTAGTAGTATTAGCAGACATGGTCTACATTGCACCCGTGCGCAGCCGGTACCGCTCCGTTCCTGCCGGCCGATACCGGCCCAACCCCACTTTGATCCGATTTTAAACCTCTAATATCTTCTAAAATATTAATTTTAATTATAGGTATGCTGTAAAGAGCAATTTAAATCAACATTAAATGCACAACGTATCTAACGTATTTAATTGGATAAGGAATAATAATGTATTGTTTACAATGGCTTCGTAAATAAGTCATAATATTTTAAAAAAATTATAAGATAAAAATGGTTACTGTTATTAATCCTTAGATAGAAATATACCATCGCGGACTTTTTTGTAGATATTTTTAAAGATATACTATTAGATCAAACTATATTAGATCAAATAATGTACTATAGGTACACTATTTGGATCTATCGCGTAAGGTTTAGCCAGCGTTTGCAATGTAAGCGCATAAAACATGTTTTCTTTCAAATTCTCGGATTTTCTCTCCAAAATGTGCATGTATGCATATAAACCTTCCTCTTGACTCATTCTCTCTATTGGTGTAAACCGCATTAAAATCCGTTGCTTAGTTTAAAAGATCTAAGCAAGTGCGTGCGTACTATAGCAAAAACTGTTTCTATAGTACATACATATTTCGGTCTAGCTTCCATCCGCTCAGAGCGTGTACCGCGCGATAAGGCACTTCGTTCCAACAGAGCTAGCTACTCAATTGATTTTGTAAAGAATATGTTTATCGCCGTAACAAGATTGTGCAGTGTTTTCTCGGATCGTGACCTTAATTAATTGAGAATACACTTGTTTTAGAGGGATCATTCCAAGACGTATCGATACGATAAAAGTTGACTTACGTAAACAAGGTAATTATATATAATTATTTAAGATACAACAAAGTGTAGAAAGGTATGTCAATAGAAAAACGCTTGTACCCTCGTAAAGGGCCCGGGTTGGCGCTGTGTGTTGATGGTATTGCTGTCAGCGCGCAGTAGTACATCGTAGTAGTCATGTTTAATATTGATGAAATATAAAAACCTTGGAGCTTCTAGCCTGTCCTCCTTCACATAATTTATTTATTCAAAACTTCTTGTACACAAACGGACTTAATGCTATGGGCCATTCTCTCCCAGTCAATGTTCAGATGATGTAGAAATATGATGCAAAAATAAAATATTGAGTGACTCCTACTCGTGAGACTTATGCGACGGAGCCGCGCATTCCAGCAGCTCATGCCGCCCCGAGTGTAGCCGCGGGTGGACGGGATGAGTTTTCTCCTCCACCTACCATGATGGCCAGCCGCAAGGAGGCGACGTCCGCGTGTGCCGGATGTCGCCTAAATATACAATGTAGTGTAGTAG